GGGGGGGAGGAGCAGCCGCGGTGTGGAACCACACGAGTCTATTCATAGCGCGGCGAACCGTCGCTTTATTTTCGTCGGCGTCGTCGCCGGCGGCTTCGGTGGCGGCGGCGGCGGCGGCAACAGCGAGCTCGGCGACGGCGCGCCCCGCGAGGTGGTGCCCGGTGGGGCCGCGGCCGTGCTGCCACAACACAGTCACACACACATACACACAAACACACACTGGCGAACGGACATCATTTTCAAGTCAGCGGGAGTTCCCCGGTTCCCGATTGGTTATCGACCAACTGCAGGCGCGGCGCAGGCATGTACTAATCTGATTGGCCGATCGGGCCGAAGGAAAAAAATGCAGCACCTCGCGGTGGGGCCGAACGAACAACAGCCAGCAGCAGCGCGAGTGAATGCGAGCCTTGTCCATGTCCGTGTGTCTGGGCGCGTGTCTTACCGACTGCACGATGGAGAGCCCGTCAAAGCCATTTATATTCCAGACCCTCACAGGGAAAATCCCCTCGCTCCTGCTGCCTGGGCTCCAACAACAGGCTCCAGCAGTACTGTATGAAGTCGCCCACGCATGGAGCCGTAGGTTCTCCTGGAGTCGCTCGCGCCTGGAGTCTGGGAGCCTGCAACAGCAGCTCGCCAGCAAGCAGCAGTCTCGCACGGTCTGCCCGGGACAAGCTTCCGTCTGGGCAGTGTGGCCAGATGCCGAGCGCGCCGAGTCGCCACCAGGCGGCGCTCGAGTCGCCAAAAGTCGCCAAGAGCCCGAAGTCGCCAAAAGTCGCCACCATGGCCCGAAAATCGCCAAAAAAATCGCCAATCACGGCCTAGGATTTTGGGGGAATTTCCCGGAATGTCTGCGCCGGGTCGGCTACACCGGCCTTTCTGAGCCGGGCCAGCCCCGCTTTTGGGCCCATGTCGTTCATTTCTACCCAAATTTCGCAAAAGTCGCCTAAAAAAAGGCTCAAATCGCCAATTTTTCTGAAATCGCCAAGAAAGTCGCCAGTCGCCAATGGCGACTTTTTTGTCGCCAAACCAAACCAAAAATCGCCACTTTGGCGAGAAATCGCCAAGCCTGGCCACACTGCGTCTGGGGGCTGGGGCTGGCGGCCCAGCCCAGGCCCGGCCAGACCGGGCT